CCGCAGCGTCCCCAACCGCTACGGCCCTGACCGACAGCCCTCGCACGCCCTCCGGTATGTATGGGCCACAAATCGAGTGCCATATAATGAGTGAGGGAAATTGAATCTAATGGGATCATGAACTGCGTGCTAGGTGTGCATGGACCATTGGTGTTTTTTTTAATCTTCATAGTTTCTTCAGTAATAGCGTTCTTCTCCGTTCTCTCACCTTCCTTCAGCTGCCTCGGCCAGAGGACAGCTGGCTGCCGCAGCGTCCCCAACCGCTACGGCCCTGACCGACAGCCCTCGCACGCCCTCCGGTATGTATGGGCCACAAATCGAGTGCCATATAATGAGTGAGGGAAATTGAATCTAATGGGATCATGAACTGCGTGCTAGGTGTGCATGGACCATTGGTGTTTTTTTTAATCTTCATAGTTTCTTCAGTAATAGCGTTCTTCTCCGTTCTCTCACCTTCCTTCAGCTGCCTCGGCCAGAGGACAGCTGGCTGCCGCAGCGTCCCCAACCGCTACGGCCCTGACCGACAGCCCTCGCACGCCCTCCGGTATGTATGGGCCACAAATCGAGTGCCATATAATGAGTGAGGGAAATTGTATCTAATGGGATCATGAACTGCGTGCTAGGTGTGCATGGACCATTGGTGTTTTTTTTAATCTTCATAGTTTCTTCAGTAATAGCGTTCTTCTCCGTTCTCTCACCTTCCTTCAGCTGCCTCGGCCAGAGGACAGCTGGCTGCCGCAGCGTCCCCAACCGCTACGGCCCTGACCGACAGCCCTCGCACGCCCTCCGGTATGTATGGGCCACAGATCGAGTGCCATATAATGAGTGAGGGAAATTGAATCTAATGGGATCATGAACTGCGTGCTAGGTGTGCATGGACCATTGGTGTTTTTTTTAAATCTTCATAGTTTCTTCAGTAATAGCGTTCTTCTCCGTTCTCTCACCTTCCTTCAGCTGCCTCGGCCAGAGGACAGCTGGCTGCCGCAGCGTCCCGAACCGCTACGGCCCTGACCGACAGCCCTCGCACGCCCTCCGGTATGTATGGGCCACAAATCGAGTGCCATATAATGAGTGAGGGAAATTGAATCTAATGGGATCATGAACTGCGTGCTAGGTGTGCATGGACCATTGGTGTTTTTTTTAATCTTCATAGTTTCTTCAGTAATAGCGTTCTTCTCCGTTCTCTCACCTTCCTTCAGCTGCCTCGGCCAGAGGACAGCTGGCTGCCGCAGCGTCCCCAACCGCTACGGCCCTGACCGACAGCCCTCGCACGCCCTCCGGTATGTATGGGCCACAAATCGAGTGCCATATAATGAGTGAGGGAAATTGAATCTAATGGGATCATGAACTGCGTGCTAGGTGTGCATGGACCATTGGTGTTTTTTTTTAATCTTCATAGTTTCTTCAGTAATAGCGTTCTTCTCCGTTCTCTCACCTTCCTTCAGCTGCCTCGGCCAGAGGACAGCTGGCTGCCGCAGCGTCCCCAACCGCTACGGCCCTGACCGACAGCCCTCGCACGCCCTCCGGTATGTATGGGCCACAAATCGAGTGCCATATAATGAGTGAGGGAAATTGAATCTAATGGGATCATGAACTGCGTGCTAGGTGTGCATGAACCATTGGTGTTTTTTTTAATCTTCATAGTTTCTTCAGTAATAGCGTTCTTCTCCATTCTCTCACCTTCCTTCAGCTGCCTCGGCCAGAGGACAGCTGGCTGCCGCAGCGTCCCCAACCGCTACGGCCCTGACCGACAGCCCTCGCACGCCCTCCGGTATGTATGGGCCACAAATCGAGTGCCATATAATGAGTGAGGGAAATTGAATCTAATGGGATCATGAACTGCGTGCTAGGTGTGCATGGACCATTGGTGTTTTTTTTAATCTTCATAGTTTCTTCAGTAATAGCGTTCTTCTCCGTTCTCTCACCTTCCTTCAGCTGCCTCGGCCAGAGGACAGCTGGCTGCCGCAGCGTCCCCAACCGCTACGGCCCTGACCGACAGCCCTCGCACGCCCTCCGGTATGTATGGGCCACAAATCGAGTGCCATATAATGAGTGAGGGAAATTGAATCTAATGGGATCATGAACTGCGTGCTAGGTGTGCATGGACCATTGGTGTTTTTTTTTAATCTTCATAGTTTCTTCAGTAATAGCGTTCTTCTCCGTTCTCTCACCTTCCTTCAGCTGCCTCGGCCAGAGGACAGCTGGCTGCCGCAGCGTCCCCAACCGCTACGGCCCTGACCGACAGCCCTCGCACGCCCTCCGGTATGTATGGGCCACAAATCGAGTGCCATATAATGAGTGAGGGAAATTGAATCTAATGGGATCATGAACTGCGTGCTAGGTGTGCATGAACCATTGGTGTTTTTTTTAATCTTCATAGTTTCTTCAGTAATAGCGTTCTTCTCCATTCTCTCACCTTCCTTCAGCTGCCTCGGCCAGAGGACAGCTGGCTGCCGCAGCGTCCCCAACCGCTACGGCCCTGACCGACAGCCCTCGCACGCCCTCCGGTATGTATGGGCCACAAATCGAGTGCCATATAATGAGTGAGGGAAATTGAATCTAATGGGATCATGAACTGCGTGCTAGGTGTGCATGAACCATTGGTGTTTTTTTTAATCTTCATAGTTTCTTCAGTAATAGCGTTCTTCTCCATTCTCTCACCTTCCTTCAGCTGCCTCGGCCAGAGGACAGCTGGCTGCCGCAGCGTCCCCAACCGCTACGGCCCTGACCGACAGCCCTCGCACGCCCTCCGGTATGTATGGGCCACAAATCGAGTGCCATATAATGAGTGAGGGAAATTGAATCTAATGGGATCATGAACTGCGTGCTAGGTGTGCATGAACCATTGGTGTTTTTTTTAATCTTCATAGTTTCTTCAGTAATAGCGTTCTTCTCCATTCTCTCACCTTCCTTCAGCTGCCTCGGCCAGAGGACAGCTGGCTGCCGCAGCGTCCCCAACCGCTACGGCCCTGACCGACAGCCCTCGCACGCCCTCCGGTATGTATGGGCCACAAATCGAGTGCCATATAATGAGTGAGGGAAATTGAATCTAATGGGATCATGAACTGCGTGCTAGGTGTGCATGAACCATTGGTGTTTTTTTTAATCTTCATAGTTTCTTCAGTAATAGCGTTCTTCTCCGTTCTCTCACCTTCCTTCAGCTGCCTCGGCCAGAGGACAGCTGGCTGCCGCAGCGTCCCCAACCGCTACGGCCCTGACCGACAGCCCTCGCACGCCCTCCGGTATGTATGGGCCACAAATCGAGTGCCATATAATGAGTGAGGGAAATTGAATCTAATGGGATCATGAACTGCGTGCTAGGTGTGCATGGACCATTGGTGTTTTTTTTTAATCTTCATAGTTTCTTCAGTAATAGCGTTCTTCTCCGTTCTCTCACCTTCCTTCAGCTGCCTCGGCCAGAGGACAGCTGGCTGCCGCAGCGTCCCCAACCGCTACGGCCCTGACCGACAGCCCTCGCACGCCCTCCGGTATGTATGGGCCACAAATCGAGTGCCATATAATGAGTGAGGGAAATTGAATCTAATGGGATCATGAACTGCGTGCTAGGTGTGCATGAACCATTGGTGTTTTTTTTAATCTTCATAGTTTCTTCAGTAATAGCGTTCTTCTCCATTCTCTCACCTTCCTTCAGCTGCCTCGGCCAGAGGACAGCTGGCTGCCGCAGCGTCCCCAACCGCTACGGCCCTGACCGACAGCCCTCGCACGCCCTCCGGTATGTATGGGCCACAAATCGAGTGCCATATAATGAGTGAGGGAAATTGAATCTAATGGGATCATGAACTGCGTGCTAGGTGTGCATGAACCATTGGTGTTTTTTTTAATCTTCATAGTTTCTTCAGTAATAGCGTTCTTCTCCATTCTCTCACCTTCCTTCAGCTGCCTCGGCCAGAGGACAGCTGGCTGCCGCAGCGTCCCCAACCGCTACGGCCCTGACCGACAGCCCTCGCACGCCCTCCGGTATGTATGGGCCACAAATCGAGTGCCATATAATGAGTGAGGGAAATTGAATCTAATGGGATCATGAACTGCGTGCTAGGTGTGCATGAACCATTGGTGTTTTTTTTAATCTTCATAGTTTCTTCAGTAATAGCGTTCTTCTCCGTTCTCTCACCTTCCTTCAGCTGCCTCGGCCAGAGGACAGCTGGCTGCCGCAGCGTCCCCAACCGCTACGGCCCTGACCGACAGCCCTCGCACGCCCTCCGGTATGTATGGGCCACAAATCGAGTGCCATATAATGAGTGAGGGAAATTGAATCTAATGGGATCATGAACTGCGTGCTAGGTGTGCATGAACCATTGGTGTTTTTTTTAATCTTCATAGTTTCTTCAGTAATAGCGTTCTTCTCCATTCTCTCACCTTCCTTCAGCTGCCTCGGCCAGAGGACAGCTGGCTGCCGCAGCGTCCCCAACCGCTACGGCCCTGACCGACAGCCCTCGCACGCCCTCCGGTATGTATGGGCCACAAATCGAGTGCCATATAATGAGTGAGGGAAATTGAATCTAATGGGATCATGAACTGCGTGCTAGGTGTGCATGGACCATTGGTGTTTTTTTTTTAATCTTCATAGTTTCTTCAGTAATAGCGTTCTTCTCCGTTCTCTCACCTTCCTTCAGCTGCCTCGGCCAGAGGACAGCTGGCTGCCGCAGCGTCCCCAACCGCTACGGCCCTGACCGACAGCCCTCGCACGCCCTCCGGTACAATACGGAAACGGACCATCTTGTATATTCGACCTACATCACCCTGTTCTGGTTTTGTGTTGTATAATAAATGTGTGTTGATTCCAGGCCGTTTTTGTCTAGCCACATCAGTTATAGCATGATGTAAAGGAGTTCTTCATATGGCAGATACCTTTTATTTCTTGAAACCGACATAACTTCCATCGGTGGATGGGAACTCTCGTCGAATTCGTTGCACGGCGCAGCTGGGCAGTGGCACCCGGTTACCGCGCCCCAGCTTATGGTGAACCCACCAAGTGAATTGCCGGTAGGCAGTGTAGCGGTGCCTCCTAAAATGAGATGATTGCATGAAGTACCAGTCAGTTGCCAGTTCAAGAGAATATAATAGAACCTAACTGCAATTTACAAAAATTTTCTCAATATCTAGTTACATGGTAGCAATATCGATAATGCAGGAAGAAGCATACCTTTGTATTTTTTATTACTTGTCATCACCGAGGTCAATCAGTCATTGGCATTTATAAAAATTTACTTCTCGTTACGCAATTTTGTTATTTTTTCCTTGAGATATCGCACCCAACCATGCTGCAATGATGACCTGTATATGTACCAGTTGCTATCTGTATTATCTGAAATGCTGTGAATACAGCGATGGACGAGCTTGAGAGCAAATTTTATTGAGTAGTGAACTCTTCATAGATTGTGCATGTTTACACATGCGTTTTATTTGGTGACAACTATTTTCTGCCATGTTGCAAAAGATAGAGTAGCTGCGATAGTGCTTTAACTGTCAAAGCTAGTTGTGCGATAGCATTTGATTGAGAATAAACACAAAGCCATGTGCTTTTGCAGCAGTGTGTAGCTGAAGCACGGTGGAAGCTACATTTGCCTCGACAATGCAGCACAAAACAGGTGATGCCGAGTACAGTGCAGGCAATACAAGTTACAGAACTCTTCTATGGTGGTTTATCCTTTTATCTTACAAATCCAGAAAAAAATGGAGCATAAGAAAACTGGAATCATGGAATGTTGATTTCTGAAGGAGAGGCAGTATCAAGTGAGAAAATCATCTTGCTTACATCATGACTTCTGCTAGAATTACAATATACATACTCTTGTGGGCCCCTGTCTCCTGCATCAAGAGGGCAGAAGTACCGGAGCTTGAGGTACTCTAGGTCCAAGATGTCGGTGTTTAGGCAATACAGCTCGAACAAGGGGTGCCTTGTTACACAATTAAGGCACCCCCTGGTCACTGCACATACGCACCACATTGTGCAACTCCCTGCAGCACGCCGACTCCTCGACTGTCTGCATTGGTCTGCAGACGCTGCCACAGGAGCACCTGTTAGTACAAAGAGATTTGTTTTTCTATTTATTCACCCTTAATATTCTCGAGACCTACAAAGTGTGTGGTATGTACAAATATGTTCGTGAAAAAGTACTAAATTCGCACAACCTTCACAACGTGTGTTCTTTACATCTTTGGTTTGCAAGCACTCACAGTAGATTACATTCCTTCAGGGAAGATTAGTAGCCGAGCATGTTGAACGGAACATGAAATCGCAGAACCAGCTGGGGATGCTGGGCTCTGTCCATCCCTCTCCTGTTCGATCTCGATGAGCATCGTACCGCCGTGTACCGTTACTACATGACATATTGCACTGACGCAATGTCTCGGCTACAGTGTGAAGCACTGTTGCTGCACTACGGCAGGCAGTCTTCAGCGATAAGTGTGAGCGAAGATGCTACCAGAGCGAGCGCGATGCTTTGAGCGGGACCGCTGCGCACACGCGAAGGGGAAACGTCGTGCAAAACCACCTCGGGCTTGTAGCATGGTAGCACTGGTTACGTACGCACTTGCGGCGGAGCACCCGGGCAGATTGTGTTGCTACATCACGAAAATAAAAAGCGCGAAAGACGAGGACAAGTGGAAGACTACACAGGACAAGGGTTTGTCCTGTCTAGTCTTCCACTTCTCCTTGTCTTTCGCGCTTTTTTATTTTTGTGATGTTTACCCAACTAGGCCAACAAATTATTTCGCTAAAGATGTTGCCTGCACGATCCAGCCCACGCGCGGGGAAAGCTCTTTCGAAGGCCACACGCGCTTTTTGGTTCGAAACTTGCGTTTTTATACATCTTTCAGTCCTTCCATAAAAGCGTTTCGCGGTACATTCATTGCCGTGTTCACGTGCGCGCGCGAATGCATTCGCGGACTCTTCTGTGACTAGGCTCACCTAGTGTGCCTCAATGTCCTTCTGTTTAGGGTGATGCCACCCTTTGTAGTACCCGATGCCGACAGCACGCGCTCACGGGTAAAATACAAAGAAATCGACGAAAACAAAATGTCGCCGGAGCAGTCAGCGCCACGAGCGCGTGCAGGGACACGTTCTTTCACACGCTTCTGAACAAAAAGTAAAAATAAAAGTGTGAGACAAAATGGCCAGATGTCTCCACCCTAAGCAAAGCGCACATGAAGGCACCCTAGGCTCACCAATTCGCCGTGCCGACGCGCCGGGCTGCTGGTGGATGTGGGCTGCCTGGCCAGCCTGGCGTTTCCGGAGAGTCGGACGACTCCTCGTCTGTTGCGGACGACGATGCCGAAGGATCGTACAGATATGGCTCTAAGCCGAATCGCTTTTCCCCCACCATAGCCACTAGCGATCTGTTGACGTCTTCGTCTTCGCTAATGTCATCGTACCCACTGCCGCTGCCACCACTCTCGTCATGTAGACACGCCATCGCACACTCAAGGCAGTTGAAGCAGCTCTGACACCTCCGCCCCTCCGCGCCTCTGCTGCCTCTGCTGGCCCCGCGATATCTACAGCCCTTGGGTACTTCGACAAAGCGAGATTGTAACGCGTTGACGCCTCCAAGTGGCAAAACTCGTCACTACGGTACGCTTGGTCGTCCGAGGCATGATGACGTCAAGACGTCTGCCGGATCTCCCGAGATGCATCGCGCTCCTCCATGGCTGATTTTGAAGCGCTCGCCAAAATCGCGGCATTTAGAGCATAAAATATAGCCATCTGCTCAAAATACGACCGTGCGATTATTCATTACAGGCTTAGCTGATCATATTGAACTCATTTCTTGATGTTTTCTCTATATTTCAAGTTTCGATTCCGTATCCCTTTAAGGGGTCAATTTCTTCCTCTTGTTATCTCCTTGTTTCCCGAGGCAGCGGTGACTCTCGCCGGTGAAAAAGCGGTGAATCTCCCGCAGACGCAGGAAAGGTAAAGCAGCCATCGCTTTGACTAGCAGACGTAAAGCAGACGGCGTTATAACTGCGCCAACCCGCCGACGCCGTTAAAGAGTGAGGAGTCTCGCCGCACACGAAAGGAGGGAAAAAGTATTTGGGAGGGAACTTGTGTTAGGTCTGTTTATACTCCAACGTCGACAAACGCAACGCGCGCCAGCGCAGACCGACGTTCGTCGGCAACTACGTTACGCCGAGAAGCGCCCGAACGATGGTGTTTACAGTCCAGCGCAGACCAACGCTGGTCCAGCGCGCCCCGACGAACTGCCCCACTTTACGCATGCGCGTCTCCGTGGCAACCGCATCGTTTCTACGCACACAATGGGCGGTAGCTTGCGCCATCTAGCCTAGAGGCAATCGGTCAGTGTGGTTCGTCCTGGTGTTGTCATGTCACGCTTCAAAAAAACCATTCGGGGTAGCGGTTAGCAGTTCAAAAACAAGCAAATGATGGTGATAACGAGTGAAAGCCAGCATTTATTTTCTCCTAAATGCCACACAAATGTCAAAAAAAAAAAAAAGAAAAGAAGCCCGATAACCTTTGAATTTAGCTGCTTCCAGGTTCGCCGGAATCGTGCCAAGCGACTCCGGCGATTTCGCCGGAATGCTTCAATTAAATCTATGCACTCGATATTCCACAGAAACCTCTTTCTGACAGGTAGCCGGTACGTTATCATCCTAGTACACTTTCACGCTGACTTAAGAAACGGACACCGAAGAGAGCGGACGATGCATAAATCACGCAATGTACGCGTTCGAAATTGTAACGCACTTTACAAAGCCTGTACAAACAATACAAGATTCAGTCCGATTGCCATCGCGTATCGCTACTATCGTTTACAAGCTCAGACCGTTTACAAGCTGGGACAGCCCAATTGAAAATTTCTGGCTGGCTAACTAGTTCAGAGGTTTCCGTGACCGCCGTTCCCGTACATTCGACGACGCTTTTTCGATCGGGAACGACTGCCGGTGAGTGCGACTGGCACATGATAATAAATAGCACACACATTAGGTCGTCCTTAATTCTAATTAACCCTACCTCTGGCGCGTCATCGAGCTTCCAACTTTTGCCGGCACCCCAAAACCACGGCCCACCACCACCGGCTCGTTAGGTCGATAGGCCTATCGAGAATCGAGGGTAGCGCATCCTCGGAGCGGTCTATGTCCACGTTCACAATCGGCCAGTCAAGCGCACGAATGTTAAATACGCACACCAACACGGGAACACAACAACATCACACGACACACGGCAAGAACGACAGATTCAGATCCGAGAAATGAGCACCTCGCACAATCTGGCCCCGACGACCCCGCCAACCGGATTCTCGAATGAGGCATTCGCGCGAGGGCTTCTGGGATAGCCTGCGTCGGCGGCGCCGACGTCCAACGTCGAACGTAGAGCATGTCCAAGTCCGTCGCAAGCTACGACGTCGCGCGTCGAGCTGTTCAGCGCGGCCCCGCGTTCAACTTGATGTTGGAGTATAGACACCCCGTTCGCAGACAGCGTCAGCGAGCGTGAACGAGCGCGTGCGCTCGTTGACGTTAAGCGGGGGACACATGTACGACGAAACCTTCCGATCCGACGTGCGGACTGCAGGAATGACCTTGGGGGGGGGAGAGGGTTTTCGTTGCATCGGAGAGCGTGAAAACCCTCGCCTCCGACCGTCGTATTGCGCGGTCGGACGTCGGATCGGACAGTTTCGTCGTACATGTGTTTCGCGCTTTACGACGGAGTATAAACAGCTCGGTTCTTAGCAAACAAACCTCGGCGCCTCGGGACACCTCGCCAGTGAGTCTTTCGACTTCTCTCCTTGATGCGCGTCTGCTAGTTGTTAGACAAAAACAACGTACCGCTCGAGTTATTTCGTCTGCCCTCTCTGAAAGGCGAAAGTCGCAGCGAAAGTAAGGCAGACGCAGACAGACGACGTTGCGAGCAGACGACGTTGCCAACGAGCAGACGACGCTCAGATAGGGGGTCGCGATCAGCCAATCAGCGCTCGGCGTTCTGACGTCACCGCTACTTCCTTTCTCATGCGCAGAAGACGAAAATGAGCCCCCTTGCGAGGCGTATTGGCTCGTATAATATTTAATTAAATAAAAAAAAAATAAACGTAGACATTTTTTTTTTACAGAAATCTGTTTTTTATTTAGTTTAACGGAAATGAGGAAAATGAGACTAGAGAAAACTGAAATTGGTAAAAGCAACTAGCATAACTGGAGACAGGGAGGAGGGCCTCCTGCGCTGAAGCTTTGAACAAACTGTAGCGCCCTCGTTTTGGGTAGTACAAGCTCACCTGATTGAGCCTAGCACTACTTATGGCACGTTGGTTGAGCTTTTTTTTTATTTTTTGTCTGGTGCTGAAGAACAAAAACACATTTGAACGCAAGAAATCGGCCAGACTCAACGCCGCAAGACAATCAAAAGTGCCAAATTTATGACACCACCGCTAGAGTACGCGTCTCTTATCTCTGGGTGGTGACGTCACAACACCTGTGTCGCGACGCTTTTATTTTTATTTTTCTTTGTCATGTCTACTTTGGAACGCGTGAAACGGCATCTCTTGGCTCACGCTCTAGCGGCTGAGCTTTGACGGCGTTCGAATTTTTGTTGTTTCTTTGTATTTTCATCGTGATCTCGCGCTCCGCATCAGAGCAGGCACGCTTCTGCATGCGTGACAGTTTGAGACGCTAAACTTTGTACTACCCAAAACAAGGCCTAACAAGTTCCTTTTCGCAGCACCCCCTGGGCAACGCAGGAGGCCCGCGTGGTTCCGGCCCAAAGTCTCAAACCTGTCTCTCAGTGGGCTTGGGTTTTGGAAATAACCCCAACCAGGCTGACCAGAAGAAAAGTGTCGACTCCCTCGCCGGGGTGAGAAAGCTGGGGTGCGTTTTTCTTTTTATTTTGTATTTGCCCGATCCCCCTAACATCAGCCTGGTGGTTCATTCCCCCTGCCCGGTGATAGTTGCAGGGATGTATATAGAGGAAAAAAAGTTGAGCATTTAAGTGTGGGATGAAAGCATTTTCTTAGGCTAGGTGGCGCAAGCTACCGCCCGTTACAAAGGGCGTAGCCATTGTTTTTTTATCTATCCATCCATTCATTCAAAGAGAGAAATTCAGTCTTTCCATTATTTTTCCATTCTCTACGCTTTCGAAGCGCCTGCGAAACACGCATTATCGCAATATTCAGTCGGGATATGGCTAGTAATTATTTCCGCCTTTTTGTTTCCTGACTTAGTCTAGTTTTCGAAACTATGATCGTATGACCCAAACGATAGACGTACTCAACGTTATGGCCGAGATGAGTGGGTTTACCAGCTTTTGAATTTTGCGCGATTTTGGCGCATGCGCAGAAGTGCTCAACTTTTACGAACTGCGTCGAAATTCGCAAAAGTCGAACCTGGTCGAACTCCACCTTCGGCATGTTCGCGAGATCCCGAATCGCATCCAATCGGTTATCGTAGGCACTGTATCGTAGGCACGGTGTAGGATGATCGTAGGCCAATCGGCACACTCGTGGCGCCATGGCGCCATCACGTGGCGCAGAAATGAAACAAATCTCAGTTGGAGAAGGAGCGGAGGCTGCAGCGAGGGTGCGAGGGGGTGGTGGACGAGTTGTAGCGTAGCGGTCGTTAGATAGACGCAAACGTAAACAAACAGAAAAAAGATATCCGTCACTCCCTTCAAGCATTTCAGCTACGCTTTGTATCGGCGCGGATGACGCGAAGTGGTTCCTCCCGGTTTAAACCTCCTAAGTACGATGCATTAGAAACGGTGAAAACGACTTGAAAACAATGAAACGGCGACACAGCGGACGACTCGACCCGGGCTGCACCTCTCCCCTCTGGGTGAAGGCCACGTGAAGGCAGTTTTTTTTTCTCCCTAAAATTAAGCAACAAAAATCACTCAAAATTTTAACAAATATTTTAAAATTTTATTTGCAGGGGGTAGCAAACAAGATTTGATTTTATCGCGCACAAGAAAAGTTTTGTGAATCTATTATAGACACAGCTTACACCCCCCTCAACCGGTCCGTGACTAAACTTTGTAGAAATCGTCTGTCATTATCCAAAGAACTACTAAAATATCCTCAACTAAAAATGATATGCCCGTATGTTCCTTACTTCTTCGAAGGAGCTCCATATTTTGTTCAGTGCACGGCCTACGAGGGGGGTTGCACGCGCGTGTTGGAAGAGCGTCGCGCCGCGCCCTGCCATTCGGCCCGAGAGTCACTTTGAGCTGCCGTCGGCTGTAGCAGGTGGAGCTTGCAGTCTCTTCAGGCCGTTGTCTCCCAAGGTGAGGCTGCCTTCCGGGCAGGAGTCGGCTCCGCGCTGGGCCTCGACGCGCTCTGCTAACGGCGCCCGCGTGCGCGCTTTCTTGTCGCGTGCCGAAACGAGCGTCGCGTCTCCGGGGGTCGGGCGTAGTTCGGGGGCCGAAACGAGGCGCCATGTTGCTAGCGATGCGTGCCCGAGAGCTCGCAGCCCCAGCCCAATGGTCGCCGCTGGTGCCGCCATTGGGCCTCCGGGCGCCTCCCTAGGGTGGCTGGCGAGCCGCCGACGGCGGCGGAACGCCGGCACGGCTACCCTCCGCGCACGCCGTCGACTCGCGATCCCAGGGACTGAAACCGCGGTCGAGGGGCGTGGTCGGCCATGGCGGAGGCTCGCCGAACTGCGGCGGGGACCCACGTGCGGCTTTGTTCGCGCACCTTCCGGGCCCGGGCGGTGCCGGTGTCGTCTCGGTGTGCCGACGAACGGGCTCTTCCCAACCTGCACGCGGCGTCTGATCAGCTCGTCTGGAGCCCGCCGCAGATTGGGAACCGACCCACAAGTCGGATGGTAACCCCCGGCACCGAGTAGCCGAGGCCGAGCGGGAGTTGACGCGAGGGTTCTGGATGCGCTCGCACGAGCCATACCGGCGGCGCTGAGTGGTGTCTGTCCGTCTCGGGGTGTGTCGCCTCGAGATAGGGAGTGCCGGGAGGGTGCTTCCCTTGTCTGGCGACAGGGGAGGCTAGGACCGCGGGACCTCGCTCCAAGGGTCCGTAACTTTTGGCCCAGTCCGGCTTAGGAGCGATGAGAGGGTGCTGGCCACCCACGGGCTATAATATGCTACGCTTGAGGTCGCTTGTCAGTCGGTGAGCACACACGACATTTGCTTTCCTTCGTGAAAGAACAATTATCCCTTTCATCCTCGCGTCACGCTAGAGCTTGGTGGACCTGACCAGTATACCTTTCGGAAGCATGCCTTCTGTCGGAAACAAGAATCCCTGTACAGGGGCAGAGACGAAAGACCCCACCAAAGCCTAGGGATGCTACTATCTCATTGCGTGTAGTTTTTGACTTGAACTATCTGTAGCATTTGTTCCTCTGCACATGACTTCTGAAAGGGCTTTATTACCACTGGGAACATTGACCCCGCCCCATCCAACCAGACTACTCTTTGGCAGCTACTGCACACAGATCGGTTCTTTTGTAGGGAATCGCCTGAGCTGGGGGGTCCACTTTTCGAGTATTGGTTTTTTTGTGTTTTTTTTTGGCAATATTGCTGTACGCAGAGGGCAGCAACTGTGATGACCAAACTTTGCTTCTAAGGAAAATGGATGTACTCTTGCGGCCAATATGAGCTGAAACACCATGATGCGTAGAGCATGCTACTATCAGAGCTGCTCGTTTCATTTTTTCGGCAAACTGTGATGCACGATTTGACCAAGACAACTGCCCTCCTGTGCTCGTTGCACCACTCTACTTTTGTATCCTTTGCCAGAGGAAGGGGAGGCAACATCACTTTGTTTAATTGAACCGGAACACCTACGCATGACAGCATAAATCTATGGTGAACTTTTCGAAGCAATTTCTGTGGTGCCCCGACTTATGATCACGCAAATTTCAATCCACGGATGTCCCTCCATATTTGCCAGGGACATAATCAAAATAGCAATAGTGCCGGTAGAAGTGTACCAGATATCTGAGCATTAAAGAGCATTGGCAAATGACAATAGTATAAAGAAGGTGATTAGCGATTGAATCACATAATTCATGCGTAGAGGGATAAAGGTCGACCTGGGGAAACATCACACAGAAGGCATTCTTAACTGCCAACTCGTCACAGCTGTATCGTTAACCCTTTCCAGTTGTAGCGTGAGCTTCGAGAAAGCCTGGCAATCCAAGCATCCATCTGGGCAGCCCTGTCACGGTTGAGAACTGCCGTCTCAGTAGCAGACTACATGCAAGTGCAGGAGGGGGAGTTCTTTTGGACTTGGCCAAAAGGACTCCCCCTTTTCTGCAAATTGTGATGCTTTTGGAATCACAATTTGCAGAAAAATGCAACAGGCAGCTCTGGTAGTATCACGTGCTGTGGCGTTTGATCTTATATTGTTATGATAGTACACTACACTAAATTTTGTTTCCATTATGAGAAATGTGAGCTAACTAAAAGCCTAAAGAAAAAAAAAGTTTGAAAGAGGGCTTTTTGAAGAGCTTTCCACTTTCTGACAGCAGAGATATCTAGCTGAAGAGCCACCAACTTTCTGTGCTGTTGAACCATAGCTGTGCAGGAAGGAGAATGAGATTGGCCACTCCAAGGGAGGGGCATTTCAACACTCCGGTGCTGGCAGCCCCATAACATCTGGGTTAATTGTGCTTGCCCGTCGTTTGCCTAGGCATTGTTCAGTAGATGACTGCCTCCATGATGTCGAGCTTCCCTTTTGGCCTTCGGAGCACCAACTGGAGATGGAGAATTCATACCATGGGGGGTCTCTCTTGAGAAGTTTTTGGGCCGTCAGTCGTAGCCTTAGCTGGTTTGCAACAGAAAGTGGATGGATAGATGGATCCTAATGGCTGTACCCTTTATAACGGGCGGTAGCTGGCACCACCTATCCTAGAAACCAGAAGTATTGTTCATCCCCTCTCCTTCTAAGCCAATTCGCTCCCCTTCTGCATTTTTATATCTCCAGGTAGTGAGAGATATCACCAGAAAAAACCCCTAAAAGATGAAAAAACAAAACAAAAAAACAACATTGCCCTTTGCCTTTTCCCCTTGGCAAAGGAGTTGCCAATTTTCCTCTTGTTGAACCTAGTCTGCATCACCCCAACACCGGGCCCACTGGAAGACAAAGTTCAGAGTTTGGGCCAGAGCCACATGGGAGGGAGTCCCAATTTGTCTCTGTCCCGCCTGTCCCCAGCTGAGCTAGTTAGTTTTATTTCACTCAATTTTCCCTGGATAATTTCCACCAATCTCCTAACCTCCTTTTTGTGACTATAATCCTTTCCTCCTCCATTCTTCCTTCTTTGCCACCTAACTCAAGCCCCCCCCTTCCTAGATCCTTTACCCCTTCAGGGAGGGCAGGGCAAAGCCCTGTGCACTTCAAAACCAAATGTTATAGTGTCCCACTCCCACTAATGGCACACGGCACATAATGTGTGTTTCTTGAAATTTAGCCCTATACATCTTTGTCCTTAGCACTCCCGTTCTCGCTTCGTTCGACGTTTCCTTTTAATGTGAAAGCATTAACTGTCCTATAAAGCGAACCGACGTCATCAGCTTTTGAAGCCGCGCCAAACAGCACCTAAACTCCGCTGTCCCAATGGAACGAGGTGAAGGCATATTTTCAAAGAACAAGGCTCCTGTTGGCTTTCGTGCAGCGTAGTGCCAAGGGACACCACTAGAGAAGCCCTCTCCGTGGTAGTGCAGAGCATGGAGCAACCCGGCCACTGGTAAGAGGTGCAGGCCTGGCTGCACAGCCCGCTCGGGCAAACTCTGGAGGGACTGCACAGCTGAGCTCAGCGCGGTGCAGCCACCTCATGAGAGTGCGCGCTCGACCATCGGTCGCTACCTTGGCAGTAGCGAAACGTAGCTGTCCACGCCACTTCGCTGCAGACTAACTAAGGGAGCGGAAGAACGACATTCATGCTTTCGCATTCACAACTCATAAGCAGTGCTTAGATGTCCTTAGACGTTTTTTCTCCAAGGTTGTTTGACCTGGCAGGTGATATGAGGCTCTTGTCAGAACCAAGGCTACAGTTTGAGCTTGTGGACTGGGTGGTTCCTTTTTTTTTTTTTGCAGTTCCTTTGGCTGTAGTAGTAGGGCAGTCTTTTTTAGCAGTTTAAAGTGAAAATTAACTGAAAAACTCGTGACAGCCCACTTTTTTGTTTTTTTAAATGGTTGTGAATTAAATTTTAAGGTGACTGGGAATGGAGCATGCATACTCTTGTGTTTTTCATCCTTGTGGAACAGGTCTTGCAGGTGCAAAATGGATGGGTGGACATTTCCTATGAAATATATTTTCTGAATGGCACTGACAATCTGTGCTGAGAACACAAGCCAGTTTCTTTTGCTGAAAACTAATTATGAAAATTAGTTCTATAACTAGATTCAGTTCAAAACCATATCCAGAACGAGACTGAAAACCAAATGCGGCCTTCAGATTGGAGGCATTTCTGGAAGTGTTGTGTACTCTCAAAATATGCGGTACATCAAATATGTATCTTTGATACCCATATTTAGATTAATATCTTTTTGGCAAACTATACTTCATGCTGCTTATTTATCTGTACCTATACTGTTGAAGGTACTTGTATGTTTGGTACTGCCCAGCCCTTTTTTAAACTTTCAGGAAAGTTAATTCAGTGAAGCACTGAGAGGCAGTTCTTCCCCCGCTATGCGTAGGGGATTTGAGTGCTTTGCCTTTCCACGGAGAACAAAACCCACTGAAGGTTGTGTGGGGAGTTGCACACTATTCTGCCGTGCATGCAAAAGAATGTGACTCCAACGCAGCAAGGGGTACGGTACATCGCTAGAAGTCGTTTCTCCAGGATGTAGATAAATGTGACTACTGCTCCATCGAAGATTCCTCTCCCACGTCTACTGCAATACGGTTGGCATGATTGTGACATTATTGTTTGCGCATCTTACTCGCGCAGTGTAGTGTCCATTGCCCTTTTTGCTACCAAGTTTGTGGGCCATAAACTGTTTACAGAGTCGAAACAGGAGCCAAGATTATCCCGCTGCGTGGTACCAACGAACAGGGTTGTGAGAGTTCTGTCAAAAGTGAATGTGGGGAAGGATGGGTATGAAAGCGAGAGGGAAAGTACCCGACATTGTTTATTGCCTAGCCTGAGGGCGGGCCAACGCGGCTTTTGGCAGCTTGAGCAGCGGAGGGAGGCACCGAGAGAGGAGGCAAGGAGAGAGGAGGCACGTCCGCTGGACAGGAAATCGTGGGGCGCGCGACCAATCTCGCGAGCACTTGCGTAGTGGCGCAAGGGGATCTGCACAAACTTGATGGCGCTCAACAGAACTAGGT